TGATCAGTGTAGTTCAGTCGTATCGAGTGTAGGGCATTTATCGAAAGAATATAATCGATGATAGTGCGTATTATTGTGGATTGATTCAAGTTGAATATGAATACTTTTGGATGCCGGCTCAGTGGTTCAGAGGTTAAGTGTTCATGCACGAGATCGGAGGTCCTGAGTTCGATTACCGCTTGCGGTGTCTTGGATGAGAATTGCTGATGACTTTCATACCAAGATGAAACGGCTCTCCGGTGTTTCCAGTTGACCGATGGTAGTCTAACATTATTCGATCCACGGTGTCCTTTGAGGTAAAGTAAAGACACAAATGCTAGTACAATAGAAGGTTCATTGATTCCTTGAAAACATAACTTTGTCAAACCAAATTCACTACTTTTAAAATACCAATTTGATACACCGCATTCAATGAATGATCAATGAATAAATGTCATTTAGCATGAAACAATACATAGATAACATCATTGTAGAAATTTATTTACAAAGTTTAAACAAGGAAAAACAAAAACAGAAATACAAAAAACATGTAATTTTTGTCACATTAAATGTATGTTTACATTTGTCATAGTTAAGAAAAGAAAAACAAAACTAACATTTCAATTAATGTGTTTGGATATTCATCAAATATATTGAAGAAATTATTCTGTAAGTCTAATTCTATTGGTAAATATTTAAGGTCATCCTAAACTATCAAGTTCACATACTTTTCAATGTTGTTTCCTGATTGGTTAATATTCACGGTCGACCTAACTGTTTAGATCATGAATTGTCTGTAAAGTTTTATGCTCTTCAATTTTCTGGCAGCTTGTAGAATACACTTTCTATGTCCTGTCAAGACATTTTGATACAGTTAGGCGGGCTTAGGACGCACAGATTAAAGTAGCTTATTGTATCAATGGATCACTTGTCTTCGCTCTCGTTTACCGACTAAGGTAAACTCGTACTAGTAGTTTCAAGTATATCAATTGACGAGCATAACATGATGCATCAGTCAGTCAGTCAGTTATAACGTAGAACTTCGTACGTACGTACGTACTTCAGTTCAGGTTGCCATACCACATCAGCACAGAGAAGCAATTGTCAATTCAAATCCCATAGTGGTAGAGATAGTAGAAGAATTAGCGGTGAAGGAGAATATTAGGGATCAATGATATTATTCAATAAGTATAATTCAGTGAGATAAGTTTAGAAAGACAAAGATAGAGGTGTTGACGAATCCAAAAGATTAGGATTTGAAAGAACACAAAGAATGGATGCATCTGCACCATTGCAAACGATTTTCAGCCATGTCATTCAGCGTCTCTAACCATCGGTGACTTTCCTCTTGCCAACCCCAACCAGGTAGCCTACATTTAACATGATGCCTACAGCATCCATTGATCGGAAATAATTTTTCATTGCAACAAAAAACAAATTTCGATCGAACAATAAGAAAAGACGATTTAAAGAATGTATTTGCATTGAACATTTCAAATAATACTTGTTTTTTCTAAATTAAATTTTATACTTCATTTAAAAATGATCGAATTTCATATTAGTTGTTAGCTTAAGATTAATCAATAATACTGAGAGGTTAATGGCTAGAAAGAATTAAATTTTTTGTTGACACTTTTATGATCTTTGAAACCATGAATCGATCAATGTTAGACCACTATTAGAAACCTGTGAGCACTGGGCGACCGTTTCGTCCTGGTATGGGACTACTCATCGGCAGTGCGCATCCACGACTCTGCACCCCGCAGGATTCGAACCCAGGACCTTCGGTATTGTGCGCGAACGCCTAACCATCGAACCACTGAGCTGGTATCTAACGATGTTAATGTCTAACTTGATCAACTCACGGAGTTGCGCAACCTCATACACAGTCTTCAGTAGTTACTGTCTATACCCGAACATTGATTGGTTCATGGTTTTAATAATGTGTAACTTAACAATCTTCACAACCCCGTAATGTACTTTTATGACTGACAAGTTTATTGAATGAAATAATTTGTGATGGTAAAGAGGATTTGTAGCTCGAAGTGGATGATTGTGATGAAGTTTCTTTCTATGAGTTGAATATTTTAGTTGTGGAATATTCATTATTCTTCTGAACAACATCATCAGCATAAACTTCAGATAGAAATGAGTTGTTCCGATTTCCTCACGTATGACTCGTGACCTGGGTTGTGATTGGTTGTTACTGACCTTAAACTTGTTGTTGTCTGCACCCTGTATTTTGATCTGTTTATTGATCTTATGTTTGTCTATGATTTTTTGTGATTGGTTGATAAATTGAGTCAATGTCGATATGTTTGTTGATTGCTGCTGATTGACCTGAGTGTCCAGCTTCTAAAAATTCCCTCTACTTAAATATTTCAACATTGTTCCAGTCTGGTGTGATCTACTTATAAGTATTATATGATGTAAGTGTCAACATAATGTCTGGCAGCAGAAGATGGGGTAAGATCAAGAAAGGAGGAGTTAGAAAACAATGGAATTTGTATGAAACGCATGAATAGTGACAATGGATTGATGTTTTGCAACAGGAACAACAGTCCAGTTCGATATGATGAACTGATATTTTGCATATTAACGATTTATGATATAGTTTTCCTATTGTCCTGAGTAACTCTGTAATTTTCGTTAAATACAATTCGGTTGCCCCACCTGTGTTCTCATTCACTACACCAGTCGTATATATACATCCACAGTTGTCCGTATGTATTGATATATAAGGGAAGAAATGTCATGACGTTTTTGACTGCTGATTGATATTCAGGCAGACTGAAACTGAACAGGACTTTCGCTTTGTCCGATGTAGTATTTTTCACAATCTGAGCAATTTATTTTGTAAATAAGACATTTAATTTTTCTTCCTTTGTCTTCAATTAAAGTAACTAATAACTCAATTAAGTAAAAAAAGTTTATTTCCGGTGATTGAACAATTTGTTTTCCAGCAATTCTGTTATCACACGTAAATTTGTTTTAATCAATAGTAAAATTTTGATCAATATTCAGTTCTTCTTTTCATTAGTTTAAACAATCAATTTCCATAAATAGAATAATGTTTATTGAAATGAACTGATACTGAGAAAACTGAGACAGGGCCGGGAGTTTGAATTATGCCAATTTACACTCTTAGTCAATTAAAAACGAAAACATTACATTGAACACTCTATTTGCACACCATCTTTGAGTCCTGACTTCCAACGCTCCATCCTTCTTCCATTCCTGCTGTTGCTTCCTTTCCGTTCCTGTTGGTACTCCATTTACTTGTTGCTTTTGTTCCATTTGCTTTCCGTTTTCCTCTTCTGACCGACCGTGAGACTTCTTCTTTCACGTCCCTTCTTATACTACTTATATCGTTCGTGTATAAGTAGCACACACCACAATACTATTCACTGACTGAAGTGGATATGATACGACAATAACAGATTATCGATTGAATGTCATTTTTCCAGTGTCAAATCAGTTTGTTTTTCACGAATTTTTTATAGGAAAATATAATAAAGACAATGTGTATGATATGAAAATTATTAAAATGAAGGTCAATGAGATAAAATTTCAAATGAACATCTAAAAGTGTGAACAATCAAAATGTATTTATCGAAAATTACAGAGTTAATCAGTAAAATAAGAAAACCATATCCATCATCAATTCATTGTCTGACATTTCTCTTATTCCTGCGTTTCATACAAATTCCATTGTATTCCCACTCTTCCTTTCTTGATCTTCTCCCATCTTCTGCTGCCAGACATTACGTTGACACTCGCGTCATATACTACTTATAAGTAGCGCTCACCACAATAGTATGTAGATCTATGATCTAATGATTATCACAGTGAATTCATGACTGTATTAAATTTAACAAATGAGCAATGTAACAACAGTGATTTGGAGGTTTAGCTTTCGCGCGCAAGATTGAAGGTCATGGGTTTGATTCCTGTGACCAGGAGTAGGTTGGAAGAAAGCTAGGGGCGGCCAGATCAAAACATGATAGAAATCTATGAAGGCACTGAAAAATGGACCGAGTCATGTTGAACTTTGTCGACTACCTGGTTGAGGTTCACGGGATAACAGCAACCTATGGTTAGAGACCTTGAATGATATGGCTCAAAATCGTTTTCAGTGTCACAGGTGCATCCACTCTTTGTGTTCTCTCAAATCGTACCCTTCTGTTAGGGGGACATAGATTAATTAAAGCATGACTACGTTGCTGCACTCTGATTGACTAATTTCCTATCCAATCAGCGCCTGATCGATTTTCTTGGAGAACAGGGTAGAAGATTCTCGTACTGTTAGCTCCATGCTGATTGGTTAAATCTAACCCACTCGATCACGTGAATTTCTATCCAGAAGCTTCTCATGTAAATGCTATAAATAGACTAACGTTGTATCTATTTTTGGCCTTCGCCTTCGCCATCACCTTTGGCTTCTTATTTCCATTTAACCTTGCTATTTGGAATATAATCTTTTCCTGTTCAACCGTGTTTTGATTCTTTGAAACTTGTCCAGTGTATTGTGTGGTCAGAGAATACTAAGCAATAGGATTTAGCTGGGAATTATCTAAGCAAGCGTTACAACACCTTCAGTATCCCTCATCATCTCTATCTTTCTGTTTCTAAATTAATCTCACTGAATTATACTTTTCGAATCATATCTTCGCTCCCTAATCTTCTCCATTTCTGCTAATACTCTTACTAAGTCCTACCACTATGGGATTCGGACTGACGATGGCGTCTCTGTGCTAATGTGGTATGGCAGCCCGAACTGAAGTATGTACCTACGTACGTACGAAATTCTACGTTGTACTTGACTGACTGACTAACTGACGAGACAGTTATCCAGTAGTGCTTCCATGTTTCTATTGGAAATCTAACAATCATTGATTCAAGGTTCCAATATATAACAAATATCATCAAATGTTATATATGTTAGAATTTTTTTTTAAAAAAAATATTGTGAACTGACTGATTTCCATTATTTATAAGTATGTATGTATTTATCTGTACAGAATTAATGCTACTTATGAAGTTCACATGAATCAACGTTATGGACGTGAAGCTATTGTACGCTGTGAATATACACATACAGATAATAGAACAATTTATCGTGAAACATTTCTACGTGAAGCAACTAAACCAACTGCACCGAATGTAAGTGTTAATTTTTGTGATTATTTTCAATGAATTGTAAACTTGCATGATGGATCTAGAATTCAGTTGTGACAAGTGGAGCTTGATCGTATCGGTTGTATGTAGGGAAAAGCTAACGAAGATAATGAGTGAGGTTGCTGTTGAGGATATTAGATCCTCAGAACGTCCTAATTTTGAATTTTATAAGGTTAATGTACTTCTTTGTTATATATATATATATATATATATATATATATATATATTGATCAATAGGCTTTGTGTTTCATGCATCAGTGAGCAATATGGAGGAGTACACAGTAGTCAGTAAGCTACAACGTAGAACTTTGTACGTATGTATAAAAAGTGCAAGTTGCCATAACATATTAGAACACAGTGATCAACATTGTCAATTTGAATCCGGTAGTGGTAGAGGCAGTAGAAGTAGAAAGAGTAATGGAGGAGGTAAGTAAATCGAAGATATTATTTAAGAAGTATAATTTCAGACAAGAAAGACAGAGGTGATTAGGAATTTAGAAGATCAGGATTTTTGAGTGAACATAAAAAACGGATGCTCACCTGCATCATTGTAAACGATTTTGAGCCATGTCATTCAAAGTCTCTAACTATCGATAACTATCGTATCGTAGACAAGTGACCAGGCAGTCTACACCTACTAACATGGCTCAGTCATATGCAGTACCGAGCAAGCTTAATAGAAATTTAATAAGAACTTAAGTAGTAATCAATATATGTGGATTCTTCAGTAGTCAGTGAGGTAGAAAATCTTCTGTTTCAAATCGATGATTAATCCTAACATTGGATTTTATGTTTTCGAGCATGGGCTGATCAGTTGACCTTGAGATTACATTTCCCAACCCGGAAAATCCTTGACTGTTGTTATTGGTTGATGTATTATTTTAGTACGTTATTTTTGTGGTTCTCCCAAAGACGTTTCTATCATGTATAAATTAACTCGATTTATAAGCTTGTAGACCTCGATTTTTTGGGTGCTTGTAGAATACACTTTCTTCAAGACTCTTTCTTCTACTTAGTGGTCCTTGGGACGCTCGGATTGAAGTAGCCTATCGTGTCACTGGATCATTTGTCTTCGCTCTCATTTACCGACTAAGGTGATCTCATAATAGTTTCAAGCATATCAGTTACACGATATCCGGGATTGATTAAAGTTAGACATTAACACCTTTGAACGCCGGCTCAGTGGTCTAGAGATTAAGTGTTCACATTTGAGACCGGCGACCCTCTGTTTGACTTCTGAGAGCAAGTGTCATGGATTCTCACTGCTGATGAGTCCTATGCTAGGACGAAACACCCGTCCAATGCTTCCAAATTTCGAATGGTGATCTAACATTGATCGATTCATAATTTCGATGAAACTCACTAATCTCCATAACTTCAATAAGGAAGAATGTAGAATATGTCTATTTATTTAAATTTGAACCTTTGTTGTTTGATTTACTTCCAGTCTAAAGTTAATCAGCCTATTTTATTTCATATGTCCAACACATTATCCAATGACCTATTGAACTCAAATACCTACTGCGATTCATTATCTGCGTGTATTCAGCTAAATAAACATGAAGGAATATTTATCAATAGTGAAAAGAATTAGGCTTCTAACAGCTCTACCAACTATAAATAACTTGTACCTACTGTGGTGAACGAGAACACAGGTGGGGCAACCGAATTGTATTTAACGAAAATTACAGAGTTATTCAGTAAAATAGGAAAACCATATCGTAAATTGTTCATTTGCAAAATATCAGTTCATCATATCGAACTGGACTGTTCCTGTTGCAAACAACATCAATCCATTGTCACTATTCATGCGTTTCATACAAATTCCATTGTGCTCTTCTAACTCTTCCTTTCTTGATCTTCCCTCATCTTCTGCTGCTGCCAGACATTACGTTGACACTCACGTCATATACTACTTATAAGTAGCTCACACCACACTACTACTTATGTAACATTCTCATTTATATATATGCATATATACATGACTATTCTTTTTCTCAAAAAAATTTTCAGATCACTGTTCTATGTACTGGTCCACGTGCAATTGTATTTGGAATAACAAATCCAAAATTAAAACCTGATAATATGCCTACAGAACGTATTGTTACACAGAAAGTTATCTTTGCACCAGCTAATGTAAGTAGTGATTGATTAATATATATATATATATATATATATATATATATATATATATATATATATATATATCTTGGTTATTGATTAATTCGAAATCTGATCAGTCATAGTGATTTGTTAAGATTTTAAATAGAGTTGTGCAAAAAACTACAGAATAGAAATATTTGTGGATTGAAAAGCTGCCATTTGTAGTTGATTTGTATGTGAATAGGTATTTTTATCAATTTGTGTTATGGAGATTAGTGTTTTTACAGATTGAAATCATCAATCAATCATTATGTTAGACTATCATTTGAAACCCAAAAGTACTGGACGGCCGTTTTGTTCTAGTGTGGGATTTATCAGCAGTGAGCATTCACGACTCCTGCACCTCGCAGGATTCGAACCTAGGACCTTCGGTCTTGCACGCGAACTCAGCCTCTAGACCACTGGGCCGGCCTTAGACAGTGATAATGTTAATCCAGAGATTTTGCGAGACCTCATCCATATGTCTTTGGTAGTTACTGCCTACACCCGACAGGGTCGAACTCTACTGGTCACGTCTTCTCACCAGAACTCCTTGAGTCGTGGATGCGCACTGCTGATGAGTCCATACAACGCTGCTAAACTGATTATCATTGAAAAGACCAAGTCCATGATTTCACATATACCTAAACGTTGCTCGAATGATTACATCACATCCCTTTGCATTTATCAATTTACATGTTTGTGTGGACACACATACCTAGGGAGGAGTAATCGGACTTTGCAATCAAGGCTTATGGAACATGTACCTAAGTGGCTTCAAAATCAGTTAACTTCAGACGAACCGATTAGCGTTGGAAATAGAAAACCATGTTCATCGATCGCCAAACACATAATTGAGACAGGGCATAAGTTTGACATCAAGACAGCCCTCAAAACCTTGTATAGAAATGTTGAAGGACAAATATTGAGGTTTATGGAGGCATTGGCTATTAGAAAATTAAAACTCCCCTTATGTTTGCAGAAACAATTTGTCATAACCTTGAATTTACCTTGGTAATCTTTAAGTCTAGGGTAATTTGACAATTTTCTGCCCCAAAATATCGTAACAGTGCTCACTAGTGACTAGCTTCGTGAGGTAATTCTCCGAGTTCTAATTGAGAAGACGTGATCAATGGAGTTCAACCCTGTCGGGTGTAGACAGTCAACTACCAAAGACAAATGGGTGAGGTCGCGCAAAATCCCTAGATCAATCAGAGTTAGACATTAACAGCATTGGATACTGACCCAGTGGTCCTATGGTCCAGAGTTCGAATCGTGCGAGGAGCAGGAGTCGTGGATGGGCAGTGCCACTGATGAGTCTCATACCAGGACGAAACAGCCGTCTTCCAGTTCTTCCAGGTTTCTAATGGTGATCTAACAATGATTGATTGATGATTTCAAATGTGTAAAAACACAAACCTCCAAAACTCTGCCCCAAAATTTTCCTACACTTTCTTATTCTTTTCATATTACGTTAATTTTCTTTCTCCACTGTTTTTACAATTATCACCTTGTGTCTATTTGAACTTTTATTTATAAATGACCTTTTATTCATCTTCATATAAAAAATGCTTTGACAAGTAAATATGTATTACGGGGTTGTGAAGATTGTTAAGTTACACATTTTTGAAACCATGAATCGATCAATGTTAGACCATCATTAGAAACCTGAAGACACTGGACTGCCGTTTCGTGCTGATATGGGACTCCTTAACAGTGCGCATCCACGACTACTGCACCTGGCAGGATTCGAACACAGGACCTTCGGTATTGTAGGCGAACGCCTAAGCATCTGACCACTGAGCCGGTATCTAACAGTGTTAATGTGTGACAAGATTGTTCGAACAATGTATAGCTCGCAAATACATCACACATCAATTACGTCTTCTTCTCACTGTGTTCTATAAAAATTTTATAAAACAGGACTACTAATTGTTTTAAATCTCAACATGAAAAATGGCGCCTAATTTAAAAAATTTCACGTGTGTTTTTCTTTCTTTCTTTCTTTGATTCACAGACATTTCATTTATCATCAACATTAGCCAGTTTATCAGTTTACTTAGATTCTGAAGGTCAACCATCAGCATCACCAGCCAATCATAATGATCCATTGAATAGAACCATTTTAACATCAATTAGTTCACAACCACAAACTGCTGTAATTTCAGTGAAAAATTTAATACCTGATACAGAATATGTATTTGAATGGTCATCAGGTAATGAATTCGGTTTAAGTGTTATGATACAATTTACATTATGGACTAAAAAACTTGAAACTGCACCAACAATTAAAGTGAGAAAGTGTTTTTAATTTTTTGGTTTTTGCATTATAGTTTTATGGAGTTTATTGTTGTGACTGTTTGTGATACAGATTGAAATTATGAATGAAGGCGGTTTAGGGCCTAGAATGGGAATGAATCATCAGCAGTGCGTACCCACGACTCCTGCTACACGCAGGATTCGAACCTAGTACCCCCTCCGAAACTTGCGAGCGACCACTGAACTGGCATCCAACGGTGTTCATGTCGAACTTTGATATTGTTTGCGTTCATTGTGCATACAAATTGATTGTATTTTAATTTGAATAATAGAACGGCATTCGAAGGATTAAAGAAATGTGACACTGATCATCAGTATTCTGTGATCAGTGTTTATGGCTGAATCATTCCTATCGGAGTTCAGTCTTAGCCTGAATAACACAGAGATAGACGCTGACTGTTGATGAGTCCCATACTAGGACGAAACGGCTGTCCAATGCTTTCATGTTTCCAATGGTGGTCTAACGATAATTGATTTTATGATGTCTATGGGTAAAAACAAAAGTTACTGTCGGAAATGTGAATGCTGATGATGAGAGTTTGAATGACGTAGGAGCCACTAGTCTCTCTTCACGATAGTGGTTATGTCTTGGTGAATAATGCCACCTATCCGTAAACTGATTACAATCAACTCCTAATGTAGTGAACACAGGTGGGGCAACCGAATTGTATTTAACAAAAATTACAGAGTTACTCAGTAAAATAAGAAAACCATATCGTCAATCGTTCATTTGCAAAATATCAGTTCATCATATCGAACTGGACTGTTGTTCCTGTTGCAAAACATCAATCCATTGTCACTATTCATGCGTTTCATACACAAATTCCATTGTTTTCTAACTCTTCCTTTCTTGATCTTTCCCCATCTTCTGCTGTCAGACTTTACGTTGACACTCACGTCATATACTACTTATAAGTAGCTCGCACCACACTAACATTAAAACATAATAGATGAAATAAGGGGTCATTTTATAAGACTAGTGGACACATTCTAAATTGATTGATTGAAATTCAAACCAGTGCAAGCGTAACAGTGATCAATATTCAACGCTACTGATCAATGTTCATTTCAAATAACCAATCATATTACACCAATGTTTATATACTCATATCTGAACAAAGATTAGTCATCATCATTTCATTTTGAATTCTTCCAGTAAAGATTATAACAAAACACTCCTGAATATATAATATGTAGGACAAGTATTGACTAACTGTTCTGTTGTCGTTTCGAAACACACACAACATTAAAATCCACAATGTCAATTGACACTTAGCCAGTAAGTAGCACAAGGATGAATATTTCCTCACAGTTTGTTTTAATTAATTTACAATTATTCAGTTTGCGCTTCTTGGTGATTCATACCACCTCATATTATACAAAAACTGCCATAAAATCTCATGGGATAATTTTTTACATTCAACTGTGTAAAGGAGTATTTTTAACTAGAAAAATCATTCACCGGACACACACACACACACACAGCAGTAGTATTGATTTACGATGCATTGCCGATAAGGAAAAAAATCTAAACAATGAGGCTTAGAAAGCAAAGTTAAACGGAAAAAAATATAGGGATATGTATATATATATTTAACACTAGAACGATTTGTTCAGAAACTGGGATAATTTATCTATGACGCATGTGAAACTATAGAGCGGAAAAAAAACGTAACGACAATACAAATTTGATCAATGGTATTTATGTTCAATGAGATTATTCTTTCTAGCTTAAGAAAATGTCAATGGCTCGTAGCTTTAAGAATGAAGAGTTTATAAATTATGTGTCTGTTTGTCTATCTTTGTGTGTGTGTTCGTGAGCGTAAATCGAACATCTTGACTACGATTGATTGGTTGATTTTGATGAATTGATCGAGGTACACTGACACACTGACACACTGACACACATTCATACAAATGAGCAGGAAATGAATTAAACAATACAATTTCAACGGTTTTCAGGAAATTCAAACAATTTATGACTGTTTTTCAATTTATACTAAATGTATAGGGTAAAAGTTCAGTCATATTGGGAGATGAGTTAAATAAAATTTAAACAAAATGTTACTTTTGAATTTTCGCACAAAATTCAAATAAAATAAGGATAACAAACAGCTTGTACAACGTTAAAAACTTAAAATGCTTGATTATTTCTATATAGATTTATAATAACGGACAAAAACATATTTGAAATCACTGCTGATGAGTCCCATACCAGGACTAAACGGCCGTCCAGTGCTTCTTCCAGGTTTCTAATGGTGGTCTAACACAATAATTGATTGATGATTTCAAATGTGTAAAAACGCAAACCTCCAAAACTCTGCCCCAAAATATCGTAACAGTGCTCACTAGTGACGACTAGCTTCGTGAGGAAATTCTCGGAGTTCTAGTTGAGAAGACGTGACCAATGGAGTTCAACCCTGTCAGATGTAGGCAGTCAACTACCAAAGACAAATGGGTGAGGTCTCACAAAATCCCTAAATCAATCAGAGTTAGAAATTAACACCATTGGATGCCGGCCCAGTGGTCCTATGGTCAGGCCCTCGCACACAATATTGAAGGTCCCTGGTTTGAATCCTGCGAGGTGAAGGAGTCGTGGATGCGCACTGCCATTGATGAGTCCCATACCAAGACGAAACGGCCGTCCAGTTCTTCCAGGTTTCTAATGGTGGTCTAACACAATGATTGATTGATGATTTCAAATGTGTAAAAACGCAAACCTACAAAACCCTGCCCCAAAATCAACACATACTGTTACTTAATCTCAATCTTTAAACAAACCTTTTTGTATCGAAATTATGCTTCGTTAAAAAAGAGATCAGATGGGTTCTCTTTTATTTTTGTGTGAAATATGGAATATAGAAAGCAGTTTTGTGTTTTTGCATGATTTTAGTTGATGATGAAAACTCTTACTTCAGTACCCCTCATACTGAAACTAAATCCCATATCCTAACCAAGAACAACTATGGGACTTTTAGGAAAATCTATTTGGTGTTTTATGAAGATTCTAGAAGACTACCATTGATAGGTGTGTATGTCAATCTGTTTTCCCTTCAATTTACAAATCGGTTAACCTATCGAGATCTTGAATAGATTCATTGACTTTATAAAACCACCTATTTGTACTTTATGACACTGAAATCATGACTCGACCAGTGTTAGACCACCACTGAGAGTCCAGAGACACTGGGGGTCCGTTCCTTCCAATTAAGACACTGATCTTCAGTGCACATTCATGACTACCTGACTCGTAGGAATCGAAACCAAGACCTTCGGTCTTGCGCACGAACGCATAACTTCTAAACGATAATTTTAAATATGTAAAGTACATTTTGTTTTAAATATTAATTCTGAATAACATATTTACGAATAAATACTTTCGGTTCAATTTCTTTTGTTCTAAACAAATAAATTCTTCAGTTAGTGGTTTATTTGAGAAGGATTACTAAAACAGGTGTACAACTTCTATATCTGGCTTCTTGATTTGAATTTTATACATACTCACTGAGCCTAATTCTTCAAAATTTTCTATAAAACTATTTATGACACCATGTAATAGATTTCGAAAGCAATCTTCTTCAGCATGAATAAACTTTCATTCAGATCAATGGTGTTATGCTTTTACAAAATTAAGTTAGAAAAACAGATTATCAGCTTTTGAAAAATCCATAAACTCCCTAGAATCATTAAAAGTTTGATAAGGTTTCATAATATCGATTGAAAAATACTGTTTATTTATACACGCTGGGCTCTTTACTGATTGGTTAAAAGGTAGTTTTAAAAATTCCCTCAATTTTCTCTCTGAACTATACCATGACATTGATATAGAAATGAACGCTTTATATGTTACATGGATGACTAACAAGTTATTCTCTAACGTTGTTTACTCTCCATATAAATCTCAATGATTCATTGAAATGAGAGTAGCGTTTACATTCATAAATTACCAAAAGACAAATAAATTGAACAATGAATCTGACCTTCACCACAAGTGGATTTATTCGCCTATTGTGATCAATAATTTCTCGACTTTGAATGTGTTTTAGAAATGTTTCTTATTACTTATATCCTTATTATTGGTAGTAATACTATAAACAGTAACACTTATTGAAAATTCAAACAAATCATAATTTTAATTGAGGGTTTGTATTTTTATAAACACTTGAAAATTGATCAATATTCTAATGAACATTTAACTCTTCACTAGATTAAGTAAAGTATATCATAATTCGTTACCTGTTCATTCTGTATTAGCCTTTCTTGAATAGAAAATCCGATTATAAAAATGGGAATTTGTTTAAAATAAGAATAAATAATGACATTGTTTAATGAATATCTGTTCACAGTGCTGTTCAATTTTCAATGGTACTTAAATTGAGG